TTTTCATGTCTATTTAAGCGTAATTTATGACAGTATGTTTGCACTGAAGCACCGCAGCAATTTCCTAATGTTGTAAACCTGCTCAACATTTGGCAATAAACCCTTTCTGATTCTGATTCTGAAGCAGTTTTACATGTGCTCAAATTGCTATGTATTTATGTGTGGGTGCAAGCACATGCTTGTGAGTACACACCAATCACTGTACACGTCTGTAACCCTTTTGAGGCACATTTCTCTCCATATTTCTCGCCAGCATGTTAAAAATGCCCCCACCTGCAAAAATTCAGAGTCAGACTGAAATCTACATGACAACAGTTCTGCATGCAAAGAAACTCAAAAGACGGTGATCACCTTTTTGCCTGTCTGTTTCCCATTTTGACTTCCGTGTGATCGGAGATGGCTGTCATGCTCCCCCACCCTTACTTCACTTCTGTCCTAACAGACACAGACAGACAAATCATGCACAGACACAAACATGGAGAACATTAGGACGGCTTAAAGAAAAATAAAAGGAAAAAATTTTATATAAATTTAAACCTGCAACCAGTGATGACAGAGCCCTCGCACACCGCTGCACGTCTAGGCGCACTGCGGTTGAGCGTGCTGCAGGTGAACAGCATCGTGTGCTTATGCGGTTTTCTTTAGCTTGAGATGATAATTGGCTGTTGGGTTGTTTATGTAAGGATTGCCATCTATGCCCACTAGAGGGCGATAGAGATACTTACCCGTATGTAATGCTGATATATATCATGCATGAAACTATAAATGAAAATTTCATGTAGACTGGATGATGTCGCCATACTCAGACTCCCATCAAGCAGGTAAAGTTTGGGACAGACTGGTACAATGCCGATATACAATATACAGAACACAAATATATAAATATCAGGGGTGCAACGATACTCGTATCGATATTGAACCGTTCGATACAGTGCTTTCGGTTCGGTACGCATATGTATCGAACAATACAACATTTTTAATTTATTTTATCAACTTTCCTTCTGACTATGCTGTCTGTGTTGAGCGCTCAGTGGATCTGCGCTCGACAGTGCAGCCT